CTTCGAGCGCGGACGTCGAGAGTCCGCGCACGAGTGCCGTGTGCAGGTCGAGGAGCTTGCTGCCCGTGGTGGCAAGCGACGGAGCGCCGTTCTCTCCGATGATGCGCGAGTCCATCGCGTTCGCGAAAGCCATTCTGCGTGTTGGGTTGGTTGGGTCGTGGTTGCGGTCGTGGCTGTGTCGTGGTCGCGGCCACTCTCTCGACAAAAAATAATTAAAAGCCGTCCTCCCCCCTCCCGACCCGCGGATACTCCATGTTATTTGCGATGCCTCGGCCTTCGTTCGACCCCTCAAGCTCGAGAGGCGCTTAGAAAAAAATGTGTGAAGTCTGTCGTCAAGGCGTCGACGCGTCCCATCGACGCGTCCCAGACAAACACAAAGCACCGCCCAAGCCATGTCGCACGCCGCCCTCAAGCGCCTCGCCAAGGAGTACAAGGAGCTCCTCGCCTCGCCCATCCCGAGTGTTTCAGCGGTCCCTAACGAAGACAACGCCCTCGTGTGGCACGCCAACATAGCCGTGCCGCTCGAGGTGGACACGTCGACGCTCCTAGTTGCGCCAATGCACCTGGTCATCCAGTTCAAGGCAGACTATCCTGCGTCGGCACCTAACGCTGGCTTCCTCGTCCACTGGCCGTACCGCATGGGCGCCAGCAGCATCGGCACTGAGCACGACGGGGCGGAGCTCAAGGGCGCCCAAATAATCTGCCTCGATATCCTCGGAAACTTTGGGCACCACCACAGGGAGTGGGCCGGACAGCGCGGATCTGGGTGGAGTCCGGCGTACTCGGTCTCGACGCTGCTGCTCAACCTGCAGGCGCTCCTGCTGGAGCTCGACGGCAGCCTGAGCCCGCGGGAGAAGCGAGATCTGTACCAGCGCGCACGGAGCTACCGCTGCGAGATCGGCGATTACGAGCACTCGGGCGAAGCGCCGTACCCGCCGCTCGAGACGGAGACGCCGACGGAGCTGGCCGAGGCCACGCCGCTGGCGGCAACGCCGGTCGCGCGGTGCTACTTCTCGCTGCTCACGCACGAGGAGGCGACGCTCGGCTACGGCGTGTACTTCGAGAAGGGCAAGCCGAAAAGCTTCGGCGAGCTGATCTCGTGGTCGGCCTTCCACGAGCAGGGCCTGCGGCAGACGTCGCAGAAGGAGCCGTTCACGCACTGGCTGCCCGCCTTCATCAACCCCGCGCACGCGAGCGAGAGCCCGCAGTGGGCGGCGCGCATGAAGGCGTCGCTCGCCGAGCTGGCGAAGGCGACCGGCGGCAGCGGCGGCTTCTCCCCGCCGCTCGCCGTGCTCCCCGCGCTGATCAACTCCATGGTCGTGGAGATCAACCGCGGCGACAAGGCCTCGGCGATCGCCTTCTTCGAGGCGCTCTCCTCCTTCTGGCGCGCGCTCCACTGGTGCGTGACGACCGACGGCACGCTGCGGGCGGAGGCGGTGCGCACGGTGCAGAGCTTCATCGAAGACCGTGCCGCGCGGCACAAGCGCGCCGTGCCCGACGTCGGCTGCCTGCTCGCGCTCGCCACGGCGCTCGTCGGCGAGTACGACCGCGCCAAGTTCGTCGACGCCTACCTCGACGAGAGCTTCGTGCGCTGCGTGATGTGGTGGCAGGGCGAGTGCCGAGCGGAGGCGGCGGCCGTCTTCCGGGCGACCGCTGTCAGCCGCGGCATCTTCCTCTTCCAGCTCACGGTGCTGCGTGAGGTGATTGGCGACGCCCCGGCCTCGACCGCTGAGGCGATGGACGCGTCGAACGGCCGGGTGCCCGAGCGCCTCGACGCGCTGCAGGCGGCGTGGAAGGAGCTCACGGGCAGCGCCGAGCCGGCGAGCTGGGACGCGTACGCCGCGGCCACCGGCTGCTCGCCCGAGACGCGCCAGCGGATGGGCGCCACCACGGACGCGTGGATCGCCGAGTGCGTGAAGCGCGCCGCGGAGGCCGGCTACTCGCGCGGCAAGGGCAAGGGCAAGGGCGGCGGCAAGGGCGGAGGTGGTGGTGGCAAGGGCGGCGGCGGCGGTGGCAAGGGTGGCGGTGGCAAGGGCGGCGGTGATGGCAAGGGCGGCGGTGGTGGCAAGGGCGGCGGTGGCAAGGGCGGCGGCGGTGGCAGGGGCGGCGGCGGCAACGGCTACGGCAAGGGCGGCGGCGGCAAAGCTGCGCGGGTGTGATGAGACAAGCCGCTCAGGCTCACCACCCCCACATACTTTTGAGTACGTTGCATGAGCATGTGTACAAACCTGTGTGCCACCCGAAATCCATAGTGTCGCTGGTATGGTTTCTTTTGTTGAAAATTTGCGAAGTGCGGCTTCACTTTGGTGGGAAAAGTAATCCGAGTGGCAAACCCGCGGCCGCAATGAATTCACGAAGGGCAGGTTTTTCGGGGGTGGAATCTGTGGAGAGAATCTGGGAATCTCCTCATCAAGGATCCCCACCTCGTCGAGAAAACTTTCACTCCAAGACATAACAACAACAACACAATCAATTTTTTAAGGTGCCCTTGCCTCCGCCCCCCGCGCCGCCCCCGAGTAGTCACCCCGAGGCCGAGCTACCGCCACACCCGGACCCCTCACAACCCGACGCCATCCAAGACCGTAGTGATTGCACGGTCTCCGACATTCCCGGATCGAAAAACTCCACTTTTGTAGGGGGGCTATTCCGCCGAATGACCAGCGCAAAGCAATAACAGCTATTTGGGTCGCAACATGCGCCGCCTTCGGTATCGACAATCCAGCCTGGGTAGCAGCACGAACCGTTCTCAATGCGCATCTCGTCCAGGCAGCACTTTCGGAGGTCGCCGTTGACACGGCCAAACACTGTGTTTCTGCTGCTGTGGCCGCAGCTGCAGGCCCCACCGCCTCTGCTTGTTTCATCGCTGTTCTGTGCCGGACGAGTGCAGAGCCTTCCTTCGTCCGTTTCGAATATGGGCACGTCGCTATCATCTCCGCTGCACGTGCCCATCGCGATGCAGAGGCATAGGTCGTGCTGCTCCTGAGACGTGACATGTGGCGTACGATACGAGCGGTACGTTTCGATCGTATGGCACAAAAGGATACCACCTGAGCGAAACTGCCTTGACCATTGACAGGACGTCGCCTCAGCTGTCGTCGAGCACTGGGAATGGCGAGTGGCTGAGCCAGCGCCCGGCATTTTGCACATTGGGATGTCGCACACTCCCCAAGCGTAACGTTGCCATCTCCATTCAGGTCGCACGCCTCCAGTGCGCAAGGGGGGAGCTCCTGAGCACTTAGTCGGCCATCTGCGTCGGCGTCCACACATTCCAAGTAACTTCCCGTGCACTCATCATACGGCTGCGCCTGGCCAAAGCACGAGGCTGGATCCATAAGCCATGGACTGAGCAACAGCAGCATGATGTTTCTGCCTGTGTTACATTGTCGCGTGCGCCGCTGGGCAGGAAGCATGTGCACGCAAAATGCGAGGCGTTACGAACGTTACAAAATCAGTTGCGCAACGCTATTACGCAAGGTTGCGAGCTTATTACGACAGCGATCCTATGCTACAAATCATCTTGGACGCTCTTCCTCAAGTCATTAATTTTGAAAAAATCTCTCTCTTAATTTTGAGGAATGCGTGAAACGGTATGAGCTAGGTAGGTAGGTAGAAAGGTGAAGAACAGCCAGGCTCGGACTGGACACCAACGCGGTATGGGTGGACGCAAGACAACAACAGAGAGAGATTTTTAGCAATACCAAACAACTCTAACACTCAAGACAGATGATGACGACACGCACGCACGAGCGACACACAGACACAAACAAGCTCACATGAGCTGCCACGCCTCCACTGTATTCGTCGTAGGGGAATTGATGCGGCGGATGCGGGCGACCAAGGCCGTCTGCCCTCCGCCCTCGATAAAAACAACTCCTTTTACCAACCTCTTGTGAAGGCGCCGAAGCTGGCAAGGCCGCCGTCTCTGTGCATCTCTAAACCCGCACACAGGCACCTCTATAACCCGCCGGCCGTCAACCTTAAAGCACCGCCGCCGCCCTATGCGCCGTCGCCCTCCCCACCGCCGCCCTGAGCCGCCCTCCCGCTGCCCGCGCCAGGGCAACAATGGCAGAGGCGGAGCTCGCCAAGCTTCGGCGGCTGCCGGAGAACCGCCGCTGCGCCACCTGCAAGCACGAGGACCGGCTCGGCTACAACGCGATCTGCGTAAAGTTCCAGATCTTTGTGTGCGGCGATTGCAAGTCGGCGCACCAGGCCTTCTCGCACCGGTGCAAGAGCGTGACGATGTCCAACTGGAACAAGGACGAGGTGCGGGCGCTCACAGGGGCGGCGGGAGGCGGCAATTTGGCCAACATGGCGAAGTACTTTGCGAAGCTGCCCGCCGACTCGCCTCAGTGGCCCGTCAAGGGCTGCCACCCCAACGACCTCAAGGAGTTTGTGCGGATCGCGTACGAGGAGAAGCGCTGGTACTCGGACGTGCCCTCGCCCGGCCCCACCGGCAGCGCGACGCCGCCGCCGGGCAACGCCACCCCGGCCGAGCCGGCGACGCTCTACTCTGCCTCGGCGCCGGGCTCCTATGCGGGGGGGATGGACCTGCTGGGAGGGGACTCGATCACCGTCGACCGCAGCGCGGGCGTCTCTGGCGGCGGCTTTTCCGCCTTTGAGGCCGGTGGCCGTAGAAGCGGAAGGCGGATTCGTGTATTCCAACTAGCGCTCGCGCGGGCTCAGCCGCATTCGACTGTATGCGACCCGCTTCGCCTCCCTCGTCTTCACGGCGTGCTCTGAGTACACGGCCGACACCGGCCTCCCGCCCTCATCTTGGCGTCTGCACCTGTGTATCCCTAGGCCGCGGGCACGCCAGACGCCTGGGCCAGCTTCTCCGCTGCGCCCGCGCCGGCGGCGGCGGCGAGCGGCGGCGCCGACAGCTGGCAAACCTTCTCCAGCGCGCCGCCGCCCGCGCCGTCGCCCCCGAAGCGCGCGTCGTCGTCGCGGGACGGATGGGCGTCTTTCTCCGCCGCCCCCTCGGGCAGCCTCCCGCCCGCCTCGCCCAGCGCCGCGTTTGACGACTTCGTCTCCGCGGCGCCGGCGGGGACGGCCTCCGCGCCGCCCTTGCGCAAGTCCTTCACCGCCCCGAGCGGCGCGTGCGTCGCCTCGGCTGGCACCACCGCCTAGACGCGGGCACACCTTCCGACTAGTAGCGGTCGAGAGGACACGGAGTCCGCTGCACTCCGCCGTATTCCGCGAGGAGCCGTTGCATCCGTAGCTTCTCGTGTCACTCCGCCGTATTCCGCGGGGAGCCGTTGTATCCGTAGCTTCTCGTGTTCACGCGGTGCTACGAGTGCACTGCACGAGGCCGTCTCTTCCCTCCCTCACTTCGGCGCGTCCGTGGTGACGTAGGCAGCGGCGTCGCCGCACTCTCAAGCTCGTTTGCGGGCATGGGCGTCGGCTCGAGTGGCGGCGCCGGCGCCGGCGCCGGCGGCCTCAAGGGCCTGCCGGTGCGCGCCGCTCGTTGCCCCACGTTTTCCCTTCGGCTGTATCTCGGCTGTATCTCGGCTGTATCTCGGCTGTAGTCCCGTGCTGCAGTTCCTCCCGCCTCGCTATATCTCGGCTGCATCTCGGCTGCATCTCGGCTGTAGTCCCGTCCTGCAGCTCAAGCACCGACGGCGACCCGATCGAGGCGGTGGTTCTGGTCTCTGTAGGCGGGCGCGATGATGCCGCCGCCGGCGCCCCGCCCCCCCATGGGCATGATGGGCGGCGGCATGGGCGGCGGCATGGGTGGCGGCATGGGTGGCGGTATGGGCGGCGGCATGGGCGGCGGCATGGGCGGCGGCATGGTTGGCATGCGCCCGATGGGCGGCATGGTTCCGATGGGAGGTGTGGGCGGCGCGATGGGCGCGATGGGCGGCATGGGCGGGGTGGGCGGGGTGGGCGGGATGGGCGGCGGCGCGCCCATGGGCGGCATGGGCGGCATGCCCCCGCCGGGCATGTGCGGGCAGATGGGCCAGATGGGAGGCGGCTGCGCTCCCAACCCGCTCATGCACGGGATGCCCGGCGCGATGAGCATGGGCAGTGGCGCGTCGGGCGGCGCCTCGGCGGCGCGGCGCAGTGTCTCTCTCTCACGACTGGCGCTGTGAGTAGGCGGCCTCGGGGTGGGCGTCGGCGGCGGAGCGGCGGCGGCCGCCCCCGCGAACGGCATGCTGCAGCCGTCGAAGAGTGCTCCGGGCAGCAAGAAGGACATCATGTCGATGTACAACAACCAGCCGCAACGGATGGCGCCACCGAACTTGCCCTTCTGAGGCGTCGGCGGTCGCGCGCCGGCCCTCCCGCCCGCCCGGGACGGCCGGCGAGAGTAGTGGGGTGCTACGTTCCTCGCGAGGGCTGCAGCGCGCGCCCACTGCCGCCACCAAGCTGGCGGTCACGTGGCGGGCTGGCCCGAGGGGTAAGGGGGGGCAGGGGGGCAGGGGGGGTGGGGGGGCGGAGGGAGGCTCGCGGGGGAGGAGAGAGGGGAGCGTGCGTCGTGCGACGACTTGGCTCGAGGGTCTGCCGGTGGGACGTAGTGGGCCTTTTTCGACGTGTCGTTGTGGCGCTGTGAGCGGAGATTTGCGGGTTAGGGGTTTGTCGGTAACTTGCTTCGTGGGATAGCCGTGGGTCTGGGTCTCTGGGTGGGACGGTGACTTTGTGCTACCCTAACCAACCACCGCTCTATATTCGTTTATTCACGAGGCGACTCCAGAGAACTTGGAGGGAGAGGGCGAGGGCCCGGAGCCGGACGTTCCACAGACGCGGCCCCCGCGCTGAGGGAGGGTGTAGAGGATGTAGAGTGTAGAGCGCTGTAGAGCTGTAGAGATGTAGAGCGCTCTGGAGCGCTGTAGAGCTGTAGAGCTCTACATCCGGCGCGTGACGATGTGAGTCCGATGTAGAGCGATGTAGAGCGCGATTTTGCTGTAGAGTTTGTTGTAGACAGTAGAGGCTCTACAGAGAGAGATTTTTAGAAGCCAACAAGAAATGTGTCTCTCTTGCTCTACAGCCAAACCGCTGGGAAGGCAGTGACTCAAAGAGGTCGAGCCGCGCTAATGGGGTGTCTCCGAGCTTACTGGAGCTCTGATGGACGGCCCTGACTATCCCTGACACACAGAGAGTCACTCTGACGGCACACAACACCGTACGAACTCTGTTCACACCGAGCAGCTGGAGTGGCTGCGGACAGGCGAACCAGCCAACCCAGAAACCGGCTGAACCGGCACCTGCTTCTTCTGCCGGCTTTGCCGCGTCTCGTTCACGCGGGCTGGCGCCTGGCGGCGCCGCTGCGCGGCATGCTCTCCTGCCGGACGGTCGCCAAGCACCTG